TCCTTGAGAAGGCAGGAACCCACATTCCCAGCTTTCCCTGGCCAGAGATGCGGAACCTTGAGGTGCACACCGGCCTTTTCCCCTGAAGGGTTGCTTCTGGGGGCTGTGCCTTGATGCTTTCCTTCTCTCTCCCTCTCTTTTGTGTCTCTCCCTCCCTGCTGCTCTCTCTCCCACTGCTGTGTCTCTCCCTCATCGCTGAGTCTCATTCTTCTCTGACTTTTGTCTGAATCTGATCCTTCTCTGAGCTGCTGGTCTCCCTCCTCTCATCCTGGTTCTCCCAGATGGGCAGACTTTCGGTGGGAGAACTCTCTGGAGTCCTGGGAGTGGCCTTAAACCTCCTGGGCTGGGCAGCACTCAGGAACCACAGCACACCCAGCCTGTCGTGCCTCAGTTTCCTCAGGAGGAAAGGTAGAAGGTGGGCTGAGCTGAGCCTTTTAGGCCACTGCTGGCCCTGAGTTGGGCTAGTTCTGTCGCCAGGTCCACTGACTCCTGCTGCAGGGCTGAGCTTACAGCCAAATTCAGGCCAGTTCCACAGTCAGTCCCCGACCCACAAGCCTCTGCTAGATGCAGAAAAACAGATGTTCTCTGAGAGGCCCAGAGACTGGATTTTTCCAGGCATCTTGGTAGCAAACCCGTAGTGCTCTGGCTTCCTTGGGCCTTGGCGGCTGGGTGGTGGCCCGGCCACAGCTTCCCAAAGTACAGGGCTGCAGTCTCTTGAGCCCTTCTGTTCCCCAGCCGCAAGGAGTTCCAGGTAGTGCGTGGGAGTCTTTTCTGTAAAGGCACCCCTGCCCCCGTGGTTCTGAAGCAGGTGGTAACGCCCCCATTGAAACATTTTGGCTATTTTCTAATGTTCACACACACCCCAAGCACACATACATTCTTGAGAAAATCTCAGCTTTCAGGAAGGGAGTTTGTTTGCCCAAGCTCTCCAGAAGGCTGCAAATGTCTCCATGTGACCAGAGCTTTCCACAGGCATGACTTCTGCTAGAGCACGTCCCATCCTAACACCTGAAAACTGCCTACTCTTCTTGTCTCTGCAGGTGAAGAGCAGTTTGAGGGCCCAGGCTTGCCCCCCGGCACTGCTCAGCCTGGCACAGGGTGCAGCCTGGAGACCCCTGAGGTTCACCCCGCGTGGTCCCCTACACCACAGGGGCTGAGCACTGTGTCCCCGGCCGGCTGAGCATTGCTAAGGGTGGCACCCAGAACCAAGGAGCACCACTGGGAGTCATCTGTAAGAAACAGGCGGGGCTGCTGAGGGGGATAGGATGAGGGAGAGGAATGGGCTGGGGTGCAGGCTAGCCCGCACTGTGGCTCTCTGGGGACTCACAGCAAGGCAGCACCAGGACGGCTGACAGCTGTCTTCTGACAAGCACGCCCTCAGCCACGGCCTCACACAGGAGCATAGTCTGGCCATCACATGCGTCCTGCAGGGCTGTGGTTTGCCTAGTGTTCACTGACAGTCACTGAGTCACCTTGAGGTTCAGAACCCTGTGGGACCCTGTGCCCAGGCTGGGCCTTGCGGGGCTGAGCCTGCTGGTGCCACCAGTGCCCAGCTCCAGTGGCACCTTTGTGAGTGGCCTGTCATTTTGTGGGAGAAAACAACTTCCATGGCTCTGCTGGCCCATTGGGGATAAGTTGGGCAGCAGAGGGCAGTCACATTCCTGTGTTCCTGCATGTGTGTATGCACAGGTGGTGCACTCACATAAACACACACCCATGTATGCGCCATGCACGCCCTTAGCAGCAGTCTGGCTCCAGAATGTTCCATTGTTCCTCCAGAACTGCTTGGAATTGTTTCCAGCCAAGTTCTGGGCCCCTCTCATTGCAGTTCTGCGCATTCCTTCCTGAGTTCACTTTCCTCACAGGGCTCACTGGGCCACCGCTCATGCAGGCCAGCTGTCACTCTCCTGGACCAGCCTGCACATGTTGCTGGCTTTTCGTGGGGAAACGTGATTTGTGTCCCCTTTCCTGAGTATATTTCAATAATTCCATTTCCTCCATATTCACTAACAATTCCATGCATCCGTTGTTCCATTGCCACATCAGCCACCACAGTGCTCTCTTCCCCTCACCAGTGTCCCAGAGACTGTCCCCTTCAAGCCCTGTTCCCCAACACCCATGCACCCCTAAGCTCAGTCTATTATGCACCAAGTCTCTAGTTTGTTGCCTTTGGCTTTTGTTGCTCCTTTACCATGTCTCTTTAAATCCCACCCCGGAGAGCTGATTGTCGGCCTGCCCCTCTCACTGACTTCAGTCAACACTCTCCACACTCCCAACCACGTAATGACAAATGGAAGGATTCTGGCTTTTCATCCAACTGCACAGTGTTCCTTGTGTATTGATGCCACAACTTCTCAATCTATTCATCTCTAATTGGACATTTGGTTATTTTTATATCTTGGCTACTGTTCTCAGCTCTGCAGTGAACACAGACGTACATATATCCTTCTGAATAGATATTTGTGTTTGGTGGAAAGATGCCAAGTAGCAGTATCTGTGGGCTACATGGGAGTTCTGTTCTTGCCTTTTCAAGAAATCTCCATATCGTTTTCCAGTGGGGTTGACCCAAATGGCATTCCCACCAGCACTGCTGGTTCCTGACTCAGTCAACAGCACTCCCAGCTGACGATGCCCAGTCCCAGAGCCCCTGGGTTGGGACAGGTTTGATGCTGGGTGAGCCCTGTCATTCCTGTGTCTTCCAGACTCTTCTGCCCATTCCCACCCCCTCAGCCAGTGTTCTCCAGATTTGTTCCTGTCTCTGTTTCTGTAGTGTCCTCTGCTCCAGGACGGTGTTGGGTTGGCAGGTGTGTGTCTGCTCCCTTAATAAAACATCAATGTTCCAGGAGTGACCTCCTGGTTCCAGAGCCACAGCAGGAGGATGGTTTCTGTGTCTCAGTGACAGCCCCCAGGGCTGGTAAGGGGCCAGGGGAGTGGGGGGGGGGGGCGGTTTGCTGTGAGGCCATTTCCAGATGCAAGAACTTCTGAAGGCAGCGCTGCCTTCCAGTAAGCAGGTTTCCTGGGATGCACCTGCCTCTGCCTCCCTTGTGTCGAGAAAGAAAACCCCAGTTGATGTGATGAGAGGGCTTCTTCTGAGGAGGCCCTCTTCCCCGTCCCCTGGTCGATGCTCAGGTGGTCCAGGGGCCTGGAAATGTGCTGTGGACATGGGCCACGCTGGTAGTGCTCTGTGACCATGTGATTGCAGGGACTGCAGCCACATCAGATGGTGTGTCAGGTGTGTCCTCTCTGGGCCCAGAAACGGGGCTCAGCCCCAGGCACCTCACTTGCTCCCCTGTCTGTGCACTGTCTGCCCGGTGTCCTCCTCCGGAGTGTTCATCGGAGCCCACTTCCTGACTGGCCTGTCAGCTTGCATTCTCCATGCATGTTTGGTTTGTCTCTGGTCAGCAGAACCCCCCAGAACTTCCTCCTTCTTCCAAGCTTCAGATGCTCAGTCAGGGCCAGCCTCCTGGTTTTGTGACATTTCTCCCAAGCCCTTGGATAATGTCTGATAACGCAGTGAAATGAGCAGATGTTCCTGAGCAGCCTTTCCCAGAACCAGCCACATGTGAATCAGGTGGTGCTGGTGCTAGCGGGCGTGTGGGACCCACACAGTGGGCCTTGGAGTGCCCTTCCTGTGCTTACTCTCGCCCAGCCACCCCCTGAACTCGAGTCATGCACAGCTGGGAACCCAGGCCAGCACTGCCCCACCAGCACATGCGCAGGGTGCCACATCCACACACACCCACACACAATGCCTCTCCCTGCACGTCGCCAGTCCACGTGGCGCCCGACCCTCCCTCATCCACACTTCCCCTGCTCCCCACGCCCTGCTTGCACCCCACGCCTTCTTGGCACCCTCTGCCCACACTGCTCCTCGCCTCCTCCCTGCCTGACCTGCTCCGCACAGAGGCTCCTACTTGCTGCCTCTTGTCCAGCACCCGCTGCCGCCCTCCGGTCCCGATGATCCAGATCCCACATCCCCGTCACCCCGCTACTGAGTCAGCCCTAACGGCCACAAGGTTCATGTGGGGGGCGCCCCGGATGGATGCGCACCTGAGTGCAGTGTCTGGTGGAGACGCACGTGCTTCAGCTCCGAGCCTCGTGGGGCGCCCGCACGCAGTGGCTCAGAGGCCAGCGTGGTCAGAGAAAGACTGAGAGCTAGGGTCTGAGATCTGTGGGGACACGGGCTGGCCCGGCCCGTGCGTGGTTCCCTTCCTGCCGACCTGGGCCTGGATGCTCTGGGTGGCAGCACTGGGATCTGGGATTTGGAGGGAGGGAAGATGATCAGGCCAGAGGTGCGTTTCACTTCCCAGATCCCCCCCTGAGCGGGCCTGCCTTCTGGGGCTGGACAGCACTGCCCTCCACGGGCTTTCTAGAGGAGGCCGGGGGAGCCGCCTTTGCAGACAGCAGTGAGGTGGCCCGTGGCACTGCGCTGCCGACCCTTCCTTCCCATTGAGGGGGTGACCCTGGGGCCCAGTGTGCGGCCGTGTCCGTTGGGCCTTGGAGCCGGCTCCTCGCAGGGACTGCCAGGACAGGTGTGTAGGAGCGAGCGGGGTGTGGGTGGGCCCTGGCCGGGTGTGCCGCCCGGTTGCAGGTGCACTGGCTGCTCGCGTGTGGGCAACTGCACGGTCCTCACTGCACCCAGGCAACCCGGAGGTAGCAGGGGGAGGCTGAAGGAGAACGGGGTGCTGCTCTCCTCCCCGTGGGGGGCGGGGGCTGGACTGGCGGGTCCTCGGCTAGTGCCCCGCACAGGGGTCCGACTGCGCCTCTCTGCAGGTGTGCCGCCTGGTTGCAGGTGCACTGGCTGCTCGCGTGTGGGCAACTGCACGGTCCTCACTGCACCCAGGCAACCCGGAGGTAGCAGGGGGAGGCTGAAGGAGAACGGGGTGCTGCTCTCCTCCCCGTGGGAGGCGGGGGCTGGACTGGCGGGTCCTCGGCTAGTGCCCCCCACAGGGGTCCGACTGCGCCTCTCTGCAGGGGTCCAACCATGCCTCTCTCCGCAGGGTGTCCTTCGACGCGGCTCGCTTCCCGCGCCACCTGCCCGAGGCCTACTGCCTGTGCCGTGGCTGCCTGACCGGGCCGGGGGGCGCCGAGGACACGCGCTTCCGCAGCGCCCCGGTCTACGCACCCACCGTGGTGCTGCGCCGCACGGCCGCCTGCGCCGGGGGCCGCGCCGTCTACCGCGAGCACTACATCGCCCTGCCTGTGGGCTGCACCTGCGTCCCCGCGCCTGCCGAGCCTGCCGCCAGCCCCGACGCCGCCGGCAGTGACAAGCCCAGCGACCAGCCTGGGCCCTGAGCGGGCCCTCCCCTACGCCCTCCCTCGGCGGGTCCCTCCCCGCCTGCCGCTCCACGTCCCCTCTCCGTGTTCCACCCCCCTCCTCCCCCGCGTCCCCTCCCCACCCCTGGGCCCTCGCGGAGCTGTCGGAGTGCCCGGAGCGCCCTGCGTGCTGGAGGGTCCAGCTGACCCTTCTGGCCAGCAGTGCTCACACCTGCTGCCTCAGCTCTCCAGACTCACAGCAGGGCGAGTTCGGACAGTTCCGATAAATCAGCTTTATTTGGGGGCTACCCCGAACTCGGGGTGAGCCACATGTGCGACTGCTCCTCCCCACCCGGTAATACGCTCCTTCCTGGGACCCGGCCTGAGCTAAGGACCAAGCACGGCCGCAAGCAGGAGCTCACGAGTTCCCTGCCGCAGATTAGGTCTCACTCATGAGAATAATGTAAGCGACACCATTAAACCTGGTTTTCACTGTTGAAATTCAAGGGTGCCCGTTTGTGGATACGGATGCAGGATGCGGTGAAATCAGGCAAGAGCAGAAGGAATGTGATTTCTGCCACTTCCCAAGAAGCAGCCAAGTCTCTGCTCAGTGTCAAGGGCTTCGGAAGGCCCAAACGAGGAGACACCTCAGTCTGTGATCTTAGATAAGCAGCAGCAGCTGCCCATGCACGTGCTGTGAAGGGGCACAGCACTCACGCCCGCCTTCCGGCTGGGGGCTGCCCCCAAGTCCAGGCAGTGGTGCCAGCAGCTGAGGGGCCCTTCTCTCTTGAATCACACCTGGTGGCCTTGGCTGCCTTTGTGAAAAACACTCGGTTAAATAAGGAAATTTAAGTTAAGATTTGAGTTAGGGCCCAGGTAGAGCTCAGTGGTCAGGCACATAAAGCCAAGTGTTCAGCCCTGGCACTGCACCGCACCCCAGCATGTTACTGCACAAAATCCCCAATGCCACAACACAGCAGGTGATCCAGCAAACCACAGCCAGGCTGAGCGACTGTAGAAATAGGGGAAGGACTTTCTGAAAAACTAATGTAGCACTGTTGCACTTTCCTCCTGTTGTTCATAGATTTGCTCAAGCAGGCTCTGTAACGTCTCCTCTGTGAGACTTGTGCTACTGTGTTTGGCATATCGAATACGTCACGGGAAGCTTGCCAGGCTTTGCCGTGCAGGCAAGATGCTCTCGGTAGCTTGCTGGGCTCTCTGAGAGGGGCAGAGGAATCGAACCTGGGTCAGCTGCATACAAGGCAAATGCCCTACCCTCTGTGCTATTGCTCCATCCCCTAAAAAAACCCTAATTCTCAAAAAAAAAAATCAAATAACTAATTCTGGGGCTGGAGCAGTAATACGGCAGGAAGGGTATTTGCCTTGCATGCAGCCGACCTGGGTTTTATCCCCAGCACCCCAATGGTCCCCAAGTAATTCCTGAGTGCAGTTGCTGGGTGTGACCCAAAAAAGCAATATGCAAGGTCAATTTCTTCCCTTTTATTATGGTACCATTAACCAAGCCTAAGAATACGTTATTCCCAGGTGTCAGCGGTACAGATGAAATGAAGCTGCTGGCTCCCAACTCAGCCTTCGTTTGACATAGTGGAAAGGTTCGCCGAGAAGACTTTGAACTTGTACTAAATAGTGATAGTAGTTGTATGTGCAAGCCCACAAAGCAAAATCCACATTTTCCAAATAAATTCAAAATGGGAAGTGACAGCTGTGGAGAGTTCTATACTGGACATACTGAGAAGGCAGATTTTACTGTTACTTCAGAGAGGAAAAATAAAATAGGCCTTCCTAGTAGTCGGGTACTGGAATATGTTACTCTCTGGGGAGCAGGCAGTGCAGAGCCAGTTCAGATCATCGAATTAGACACTCCCACAATTATAAAGAAAAACTGCAAAGAAAAACTGCTTCTCACACCAGTGATTGAGGTCAGTGTTTCAGTAATTGGGGTCACTTTTTCAGTAACTTCCCAGCGACTTCTCAAACACAAATACAGCAAGCATCAAACATAAGTCTGACTCAGGAGAGCTAACTAGTTGCAGGGGGGTATATCACCATCTGTACTAATCACGGAACTGAACTTAGCTGTGTAAGCTGGCTTCCGTTAGCACTTGGAGGCTAATGGAAGAAATCAGCTTTCTGTTGGAAGATCTAGTAAGGAAACTTCTGTGGTTTTTTTCCCCTGAGTGGAACATTCATCCCTTATGAAAAACCTCACCGAACCATTAGGTGGGAGACAAAGGTGAAGCATAAGGATGCCGATTTCGGCTGAGACTGCAGAACTCAGGGTTCACAGGCCTCTGCTTGTTCACAGAACAGTACCTGGACACTGGACCCAAACGATCCTCATGAAATGAGGCGAGTCACAGGTGGAGCACATGCATCTGTGTGTGCAGCCCCAAACTCCGTCCTCCGTACCAGTGAGCTTACACTGCTTGGTGGCAGTGTGCCCTCACAGGGATGTGATAGGGATACCTACGTGGTGGTAGCGCAGATTAGTGTTACACCCCAAGTCATAGCATACACACGACACACTTCATTCTGGTTCTCCCTGTATGACTATGATATCTGAGGGAAGGAGAGCCACTGGCATAGTGCTATGGACTTCAGGAACAGGCTCAGCACATGTAAATTGCTTCAGGGACCAAACTCAAACCCTCATGAGGTGCTTTTGTTACTGAACCATTTTCCCATGAGGGAGAAAGTGAGGTCTGGGGGAATCCAAGTGAAACTTGTGTCTCTTGGTGCAATGCTGGCATCCCACACAGTCTCCACAGCCTGTGTCAGGAGCTGGTCAGAGCGACTCACTTTTCCTTCTGTGACTAGACCATCATCAGGAAACACACCGGGTCTAGTCCATCATTTTGGAAGATGCAGAGGAAAAGCTGCAGGTAGCTTATAAAATCCTGAACTGGACGCATGAGCATAAGTTTGCTAAACATAAGTTTGCTAAAATTAAAACCATGTTATGGGTCCAAAACACTAAAACACAACACCTGCCTTGTTGCTTATTAAACAAAATATAATTAACTTTTTAATGAGTCAAACTTTGCCCCTCTCCTCCTACATCCTCTATAACGACATAAGGTTCTTAATACCAACAAATTGGAAAATCTAGGAGAAATGTGCACTTACCCATCTGAATTTAGAACATTTCAACCTACCAAGACTGAATCATGAAGAAACTAGAAAATTTGAACAGACCAATCATACAAATCAAGCAAAGCAACTGAATCATTAATTAAAAACCTCCCAGGAGCAGAGAGCACCACTAGTGAATTCTATTACGTATCCAAAGAAGAATTACTATCAATGCTTCTCAAATGATTTCAAAAAACTGAAGAGGAGGCAACATTTTTAAAATTATTTTTTGCAGGCAAGATAATGCTGATACAAGAGCTAGACAGGAACACAATAGGAATTGAAACGTACAGGCCAATATCCTTGATAATCACTGTTAAGAAAATTCTCAATAAGGGGGAACGGTGCCACCAGCAGGTCAATCTGTACCTGTGAGGCGAGTGCATCAGCAGCCTGCTGGTGCCTCCAGGCTTCCTTATACCCCAAAATTGCTGCTGTGCCTTTGGCCAGACTCCAACAACTTGGGACCAAGTTTACCAAGAAAGTAAACGGCCAAAAGTTAAGTATGTGGGAGTCATATCCACAAACCACCTCCGGCTCCATATACAAGCTCATTTATTGGCCTTATTTCAGAGACCCATAGATAAATCTTGAAAGAGATCTCAAGTCACAGTTAATCTCAGACCCACTCATGGCTGAACAGACTGGAGTAAATCAGAGGGGGCTGGGTTGGCCTGGTGGCCCACCCAAACAGAGCCCCCAGCAGGCACTTGCTCCCACAATCCCATGCCTCTGGCCTGACTCCACTGTCTCAGAACAGACCTAACCAAGATAAAATCCACTGAAAATTCTGGTATGCGGGTTTTGTGACTGAAATCTCCAGGCTTTCTCAGAGTTGGGCTGGGCTACCTTTCCTGACTTACCAGTACACATCGAAGCCCTGGCAGTCACCCCCATGAACTAACTCCAGCGCCACCCTGTAAGCTCTACTGCTGGCCTTGCTTCAGAGACCCCTAAATAAATCTCGAAAGAGATCAAAAGCCACAGTTAAGCTGAACAGACTGGGGTGAATTGGACGGGGGCGGGTTGGCCCGTGCCCGCCCAAGCAGAGCCCCCAGCAGCCACTTGCTTCCACAATCCAAAATCGCCACCTACCCGCAGCCTGACTCCACCATCTTAGGACGGACCTCACCAAGATATAATCTGCTGAAAATTTTGTAACGTTGATCTTAGCACACCAACAGTCCTGGCCCAGAGACACAGCAGCAAGTCCCAGAAGACACCACAGTGCCGGGTATCTCTCCAGGCCCCATACCAAGACAGTTTCACCTGGGTACCCCAAATGGAGCAGGTGCAAACTCCCCGCCTACTCCAGACGGAATCCTGGTGACTAAGAGCTTCCACAAGCAAGGCCCAGGTATGCAGGTTCAGGACTGAATCTCCTGGCCGCATGGTGGCAGCGAACCTGAGCTGTCCCTCCCTGGGTCCCTACCCACCCAGCAGACTGGCTGTCCTGCACACAATTTGCCTCCGGGCACCATCTTAGCACACCAACAGCTCTCGCCCAGAGGTTCCCAATTGAATCCCAAAATGGATTAGTGCCCTACAGAGATGTCTCTGGAACCCAACAATTTACAATCTAGAAATTTACATTTACAATCGCAGTTGTTCAAGCTCTTATGATATTCAAAATGAGTAATGGAAAATAAATTATCTAGCATCTGCCCCTGGCAGGTAGGCTTGAATGGTGGTGGGAAATTTTGAGCAAAACATAATGCCCCAAATTGGAGAGTATTGGGGAAATTGTCTGCCACAGAGGCAGGCTGAGGACTGGGATTGGGGGTGGGGGGAGGGACAAGAAGGGGGGGAATACTGGGGACATTGGTGGTGGAAAATGTGCACTGGTGGAGGGATGGGTGCTCCATCATTGTATGACTGAATCTCAA